AAATAACCTTTTTTCAAGGGAAGTGGGTGTCTGGCACACCAGATGGTGTGCTCTGTGTGTGTGTCTGGTATAAATCATACTGTATCTTTAGCATTTAGCGAGGAGTTTCCCACTGCCATGACTGATGATGTCTGCAGTTTTCTGTTGCGGGAATGTTTAATTGGGTGCTATACAGCTAGAAAAGAAAGGCAATCAGTGCTGCTAGACTGCTATTTAATATCCTGCTGTTTCTTCCTCGCTATTTTTCACACGCTGCTGTTTCTGTTCTCGTTCAACTTGTTGAGAACTGTGTCAGCACAGCTGCATCATTAGACTCACTTCTAGTTATAGTTCTTCCTTTTTATAAACTCTGTATCACTAAAAACTGAACTCTTGAGTTTGCACATTATTGCCTTGTTAAATCAAACTTCCTATGGCAGTGATGTTTGTTTGTTTACTTAATTTTTAATTCTTTAAGAAGGCAAACATTGATTCCAAGGAGAATTTTTGGATTTACAATGGTCTTACAAGGCATGGCCTAGTGTGACAGTGTGATATGTGAAACTAATTATAAATAAAAATATTTATCAGTTCATAAAATTCTGATCCTACCCATTAAAGAAGAGAATATAGTTAAATTATTAATTTGAGTACATTGTACAACATGTAACATGGATATTATTAATCTTTTAAGTGATGAACAGTAACATCAATCAAGTGTGAAATATAATAAAATCGGCCTACATGTCATCCCAGTGTTATACTTTAGTGTGGAGGAATTTATTTAAAGGCTCTGTGACTTTTTTTAATCATTGTTCATAGTACAGTACAGTAGGCTGTTATGTTCACTTCAGATGTTCAAAGGCTAATTTTATGCTTTGACATTGATATTTATTTCTCAGTATATTAGTTTAGTGGACTTGAAGGCTGGTAGTGTAAGCACAATGTGTTGTAATTCCATCATATGTTTAGGTAAACTTGTTTCAGGACCTACAGGCCTTACAAACCTGCAGTACTAAAGCTGTTTATAAGGGTTTTAAAACTATGCTTTAATAATATTTATTCGACTACTTCTGTAATGTATTACATCAACATACTATAAAAGATGTATATATTTCTGCACACTGATTGATTATATTTAGTATGTTATGATTTAATAATAAATTCTATATGAATTTATAACTCCTGTTGTCTGTGGTCTTGACATAAAATACTGCATATTGTCTCCGGAGAAAAGGTTATTTTTCTTCTGCAGTCAGGTTTCTTTTTCATAAATCACTTGAGAAATCGCACTTTTTATTTCTTTCTAACATGACTGAAACTTGTGGAACAGACCCAAACTGTGTAGAGGCATTGCCTGTACTTACATCATTGTCCCAATGCCTATGGTGTCAACCTAGCTCTACTCACAACTCAATAGGCGACAATTGTACAAACTAGGCTATGACCATAGAAATCCTCTTTACAAACCACTGAGTCAGGTAGCTGTTGACAGGAGTGCTCAGAATAGTACCTGGCTGAGTGGATTGTGATCATTGTGTGTTTCTGTGTGCACGTGTGCATGCAGGTTATTTGTCACTGTGAGCTCTATACCTTTGTTTGTAAACAACACACAGTTGTGAGGCATTGTGTGTTGCGCGCAGAATGGCCGTCTTTCATTGTGCTGCAATATAACCCATATCTTGCGAAAACAAAGGCTTGTACCTTCCATAGAGGGCTAACTGCATACAGATGGTGTTATAAACCTTCCTCTGAATCTAGGCATGCTTGCAGGGTAATTCTTCAGCTGAGCACTGAGCTCAGTGAAGTGTGGAAAGGCTGAGCAGAACAAAGTAGCACTTTGTTGTAGGGTAGAATTAGAATAAGCCTAAAGATACCTTTTTTATTTTTATCTTACACCGAGAGTTTTAGTATTACTTACCCCCGATGTTCAGTTTCAAAATGCAATCACCACCCATATCTATAAAGCTCAATCACCTTATACAATATACCTATGCTCATACTATACAAATAACATACTCAAATTATTATAAAAGGATGTATGTTGGGAATTCTCTGTATTATAAGTAGTCACAATAGTAATGATGCATCTCCTGTGATCAGTACTATTATTAATAGTATTATTACTGTTGTTGATCAGAGATCATAAGGAACTGTACAGTTGTTATATATATATATATATTATAGCTTCCTGCACATGTATTGAACCAGTACTGACAGCAGAGGGCAGGATTCACATAAATAAAGAAAGCAGCTTCACCTCATCAGCAACTTCACCTGAAACTTTAGTTGTCATAGTTTTATTAATGTTTCACAGTCATAAACTGAATAAAAATGTTTAGTTGTTGGCAATGTATGATATAGGGCATAATAAACCAGCAGCATGGTCTCTTTTGGGTCACAGTTCAACCACTGATGTCACAGAAGTAATTGTTCATGGAAGTAAAAATGAATGAGGTGTGGCCAGAAGTGCAGCTTCAACCCACAGGGAGGAATGCAGCAGTGCTGCTTTGCACAGATGTAGTTTTGACAACTTGCTAGTGTGTGCACTCTTTCACTTCCAGGAGAAGCCAAGAAACATCGGCTGTCTTGCAGCGCCTAATTGTTCTTGGTGTGTTCTCCCTGTGCTCTCTTCCACCACTCGTTTACGGGTCTGGGCTTGTGGGAGATTTTTGCCCACAGTTTAAGTTTACCTGGGTCAATCTGTCAGTGAGAAATGCCATAGCCATAGAGACTGGGAAATCTAAACAATGAACTGAAACTTGCCGGTGTTCGCTGAGATTTCACAGTCATTTAAATAGCTATCAACTATAGGGATTACTATAACAAACATAAAGATAGGCTTTTAAGAATGAAACAGAAAAATCAGAGAGACAGAGCATTATTTGTAGAATAAGTTAGTAGTTTGCTTTGCATTAAGAGCTTTTTTTTGGAGCATTTTTATGGAAAAAGAAATCCAATACTTTCTTGCTCACACACACACACACACACACACACCACACACACACACACACACACACACTTTGACACATTTCTTGTTGGCAATCAAGAATCAAAGTCTCTCTCTTCCTCATACTTTCTCTTACACTCATCTACACTCTAATTTACATAAAATAATACAAATAATGCCGCTAGTCTTTGCTGCATTTCATAATTCTGGTATCTCTTTGAATGTAATTTTGAAATGTATAAAGTTATCAGATGGGTGGTAAATATACAAATATGCTGGGACATTGTCAACATTATATAATTTCAGCAACAATGTAATGACCAGTGGCTTTACATTTTCATAACAATTTACTACTGTCACAATGTCACAATCATGACGGTGGAGGCCTTTTTCTTAGGGAGGAGATGTGTCAGCCTGCTATATGTCATATTTAGGCATGTCAGTGGGAGCCCATGGTGGTATGTACAAATGCAAGATAATGCTTGAAAAGCCACTGGCCCTCCTTTATCCGTGAGCTGGGGATTCCCAAAGGTTTGTATGCTCCTGGGTGGAGGAGAGTTGGAGGAATGGAAGGGTTGCACATTCCTGCAGGATGGCATAAGGCTTCCCATCAGTGAAGCGGGAGGGAATTGGAAAATAATCCCTCATTTTCCAAGTTGAAATAAATGCAGTTATAAGCTCTGCAGTGGAAAAGGGCATCTCTCTGAAGCACGTGCTTTCGCTGTCTCGGGGGCGGGGCGGCGGTGCGTTCAGAGGCATCTGCAACTTACTTTCTATTCTATTTCAAAACAACAACAACAACAACAATAATGAAAGCAATCGTACAATCAGGAGAAAAAATTAAAGCACATGTCTTGAAATCTGCCTTTTTATAGAAATCTGGCTGGTTTAGAGGTACTCTACTACAAGCTCTCGTTGGGTCAAGCACAACTTATGAGGGGTCCATCCTGCACTTTTGTTGAGTAAGCCTAGTCATTAGTAAAAATACATAAATAAATAAACAAATAAAGAGGCGCACATAAGTCTACAGGACATTGAACACGTTAACTGAAGTCTGTAGTGAATTGCTAAAAACAAATCATTTTAAGCCAGAGGAAACAATGTAGGCCTATAGCATGCTACATAAAGTGGACGGCTGGCTATGGTGCTTAATGTTGCCAGACATTCCAATGTGGTGACACACACACACACACACACACACACACACACACACACACACACACACACACACACACACACACACACACAGTGTAAACCAGAGCCGCAGTTATTGTCCTCCTGTCCACAGCTCATTCGGCGGCTACTGAGGGGAGATGCTGCATTCGTGTGCAGTTGGATATATTGCCATTAAGCTTAACACGTTATAAAACACTCATGACAAGAGGTAGGTAGGTTTCTGGTCACAATATAACAAGTTTTAGAGTGAAATTGAGTTTTGTAACTCCCTTCTGCTACATAGCAGACAATATTAACACAGAATCAATTATGAAAAATGGTATACGGAAATAACCTAACATCAACGCAGCAGTGCTGAGGATAAATCAGAGTTTAAGAGTCTGATAGCTTGGGGGGGAGCTGCTCTGCAGTCTGGTGGTGTGGCAGCTGAAACTTCTATATCTCTTCCCAGACAAGGCAGCAGGGTAAACAGGCTGCAGCTGGGGTGGGTAGCCTACTGTCCTTTAGTCCTTTCCTTTGTGCATTTATCACATGAAACAAAACACTGTAACTAAATTAAACAGCTTTATTTGTAAAACTGATCATGCCATGTTGGTAATTAGCTATACCTATCTATCTATATCAGATAGCATATGTGGCTATACAGCTATATTTTAAGACTTAAAAAAAACTGAATGCATCTAAAGTATCTAAACAAATTGTCTGTCTAGTGGATCAGATATTTCCCACGATGTGCAAAATATTACTTATGTGCGTACCTCTTGAATAGTAAAACAACAGCAATCCAGAAAACATTTTACAAAACCAAAATACATTGGAATCTTGATTTTGAATTTGGAGTACAATATTCCGAGGAACATCTGAAGGCATCAGAGCAGAGAGCGGGGTTCCCACACCAGCGCGAGCTGCTGCATCAACTGTCTCTCCGTGAGGTGTGTGGAGCGACTCAGTCAACGAAAACTTACCAGAACATGTGCTGAAGCAGTGAGTATGCGGACTTTCGAGGGATGCTAACTGGATTTGACAACTTTGGTCGGTAAGTTTGTGTCACCACTTCCTCCAAACTGTCACGTCAATATACGTTTTTAGACACCTTTCCACGGGTTGGCTGCACGAGTCTTTCAGTCGGGAGTGCGGTTTGTTAAGTTGCTCACAGTGTCAGTGGGTCTCAGACGGAGTCCACAAACCCCTGAACCACACTAAACCTACCTAATTGTAATTTCTTTGCATTCTGTTTGGTACTAGAAAGGAATGTGGTTGTTCGCTTAAAAGTGAAATCGCCCACCTCTGAACCTCCCAGCAGAAAGTCTCTTACGAAACCGGGTTCCTGGCGTCTTTTAGGGCAATTTAACGTAACCTCATCTTGGTATGAAAACATTTTGAAACGTTGTTTTTTTTTTTTTCTGTGCTTGCTGTGAGGTGCATTGCTGTGCATGGAGGTGGTTTCATTGTCGTTTACTTGAAAATGTTCCAAAAACGAGTGAAATGGGATTTTTTGTGTATGCTGTTCGCACTTTCTTTCATTTTATGCTTGTGTGTGCACGCGCGCATGTGAGTTCTTTAGTTTGACAAGTAAGGTTTTTGTTGACATAGGCCCTCCCCTAGGCATCCCTTGGGGAGTGGGACCTGTTTACTCTTTTGAGTGTGATGTTGCAGTGAATGTTGCTTTACGCTAATATACATTAGTTCCAGAGAGAAATATGCCTCAGATTGATCAGCTCCAGATCAGATTCGCTAATAGAAGGGCAGACAACTTTTGAAAAAGTAGGCTACAGTCCATATGACTGTCTGACACAAACTAATAGGATAACAGGGCTGTATTTACAGTGCAAAGTTGGGGGCCACAAAAGGAGAAAAGACACTTGGTTCCAAGCATGTTACTTAAATGATATTATCTTAATACTGTAGTTGATGAAATTACAGTATTTTTACACACTTTTCTTCACTTCTCCCCAAATTGATAATGTTTGTGCATATTTATTCAACTCTCAGTCATTATATGTGCTCCAACATTACAGAATATTGTGATGTAGCAGTTGGAGAGAAGGTGCGGTGATGTCTTGATATAGAAATGAGGAGCAGACAGGGATGGGAGACTGGAAAGACTTGATGTTCTTCAAACTTGCTGTTCTGTATTAGTACATTCTCCCTTCCAAAAATGCCACTAGGTGCTTCCCATCTGTTAAGCTGTGCAACAGCTTCAGACTTTGTCTTGACAACATCACATTTCTAGTGTTAATTGCCATATTGACCTAGGGCTGGGTGATTTTGCCAAAAATGTTATCAGGAGAAAAACAAGTTTAAAGGCTAATTTATGCCCCTGAATAAAAATTGAAGGGCCAAAGGATTATTTGTGTGCTTAATCTATACTTTATAGTCAGATCGTGACAAACACTCGACGCCAAACAGTGGATCACTTTACATTTCTGAGGTAGAACATTCAAAATAATTATCTTCAAAAAAATTTTTTTTCAAAAAATATGATGATGATATGATGACCTTTAATCTAAACTTGTGGCGATTGTGGAATTCATTCTTTTGGCTACATGATACTGCTGCACATTGATTAGCTCTGTTTAGAAATTAAAGGTGCCCTGTGGAGTTTTTTTGTAAACTAACAAAAGTTATGTTCACATTAAGTGTTTCTCACCAAAACGCTTTTCAAATACATTATTTACATCCTTGTTTACTAGCACTCTTCTGCGCTGCCTTTTGCTGGCGCAAATGCTATGCTTGTTTGCATTTTACCTCCACCAACTGTCCATCAGTGGAATAGCGTCAATGGCAGGTGTCGATGGCAGGAGTGCGCATAGCCTTGTCCGGGTAATTGTGCATGCATGTGCGTCCCTGTCCCTTGTGTTCAGTGCAAAGAAAACAGAGACCCAATTGTAAAATCAGCACTCTGTAGCGCTACTAGTGGTCAAAACACCACAAGGTACCTTTATGTCCTCTTGATATTACCCACTTTACGGCAGTTTAATTTCTGTCATAGTTGTATTTTTGTTTTGTTGTATTTTGTCTTGAAATACAATTTGTCTCTCTTCTTTGATATCCTGAATTGTTTGCAAGCAGTGTTAATGGAGCTAAAGGCTGCATTTAAGCTCTTGACTTGAGTAATGTTTAAAATGTTTTCAGAAGTTGAATCTGGAGCTGCTGTGTTGTCACTGAATTTGTGTATGTCTTGAAATCTCCTTAATAACTGCTTTTACTGGTTCTGAGATTCAAGTTGTTTTCTCCTTTAGCTGTCCAAAATAATATATCCTCCTGCATTTCCTGCTGTCTTGCATATTACACAAAGGGAAAAACACTGAACAAAGCAATTATGTAATAATTCAGATATAAAAGCCTGAGCCCACGCTACAGAGTCCTCTGGCATCCATGTTGAAACCAAACTAGTCTCTAACGTTAGCTTATTTTGACTTTTGTCTGTGCAACGACTCGGGATTGATTGATTAAGTGGCTGATTATGTGGCTGGACTGACTGAATACTCATTTGAAATCTTGATAGTAGTTAGGCTCAGACATATGTTCTGTGACGTATGCTCTCACATAATGTTTAGTCTATCCCCAAGAATTCTACGTGGTCTTGAAATGAAAAAATTGCACAAAGCAGACTTCACAGACCAGCAACTAGTGTGTTGTTTGTTGTATGAGAAAGCTTTTATCTGACGGACACGGGGTCACAATGAAGATTTTGCACCATATGCAAAGTGTTATATGGACACGGCTCATCGTCATTTCTACTGGTGTGGTTCACTCTTTCTGGTGTTAAAGACACACACACACACACACACACACAATTACTGGCACTCATTTCATTCTGTTCTTCAAGTTCAGCAGTCTCCCTCTTTTGAGTCATCTTTTTGTTTTAGTTAACGAGGGCATGAACACATACACGAAAACACACACACAAACACACCTTGAAAATACCCTTTCTTGAGTCAGCCCTCTCCCTCTGTTGTTACACTATTGCACACGCAAACAGATGTACACACACACCCACACACATTCACACATAGAGCCCCTCTCTCTCTTTCTGTGCAGTTTCCACTGGAGTCTCTTTCTGCCCTGCCCTCTAATCAAAGCCATATGTTCTCCAGGTCCCTTGCATGAAAAGTCTGTTCTGTTTGCAGCACTGTTCCCACTGTAACCAGCCTCTCGCTTTATTTCTGGCAGAGGGAGAGACTGTGCTGAAAATGAAAGATAACTTGCGAGGATTGCAGGTTGATGATTTTTTTCCTGTCCTTTTTTTGTGTAATTGTGTTTTATTGGTTTTCACTTTTACAGAAAAATTCAAAGCAAATATCATTGTTGTGCTTTACAAACAAAAGTAGTGAAAAGGATGCACAAAAAATGAATAAATCATTGACAGAGGATTCAAAACAATGGCTGACAAATAACTAGGTCTGCAAATTATGAGGAGATTTAAAGTGTAAATTCATCGTAGTCCAGGAAGGGACGCCTGGGAGTCCAGGAAGTTTAAACCTGAGTTTACTAGTTATATGTGCTCGTAACCATAACATATAAAGCCCATTTTCCACTGCATGGTACCTGCTTGATTCGCCTAAACTTGCCTCGACTCTACTCGCCTTTTTTTGGTTTTCCATTGTGAAAGTGAAAAGTTGTACCTGTACCTGCTACCAGGTACTTTTTTTCATATAACCTTGTGAAAACACAGCAGACTGCTGATTGGCCAGAGAGAATCGTCACAATTCACTGCATCATCATTCTGCGTGCCTGACAGAGGCCAGCAAAAGAAAATTTTATGTTTTCATACGTTATATCATCACTAAATCCACTTTGGAGAAGTTTTGAGGTGAGAAATAAACGGTGTAGATTTCTAATATTGACAGTTTTTTGAAAAGTGATGGCGGAACAAAAATGTGCGGAGTTCGGAGTTGAGGAGCTCCGCAAGTGGCGGCGGGGGAAGCCTGTGCCAACCCCTGGGAGGAGCTTGCGAGGCCGGCCACCCACTCACAGAGCCCTCTGGTCCCACCGTCACACAGACCGCTGCAGCAACAATGGCAGGAGGAAAACACAGTTGTAAGGTTTTCATACTGCTTACCTGTCTTTACGTTCTGAGAAATGTTGAAAAGTTTTAACTTAAATCAAGAGACAGCTGTTTGCGGGTAGCTGGTGTGTGTATTGCATTGAACATTACGTTGCGGCAGTTTTGTGTGGCGTTGCTATGACGACCAGTTACATTAAGGGGTACTATCTGCAATGGAAAACGGAGGACGGTGGGCCAGATTCGAGGCGAGTTGAGCTGGTACTCCAGTAGTTATATAATTTAGGACAGAGCCAGAACATGTGTGCCAGAGTAGATGCCTTCATCGGCCACAAATAGAATCTACATTAGGATATATTTAGGCAAGTTTTAATTTGGAAAAATGATGACGACCTTCTTTTTTATATTTTTTGTTTGGTGGTGTTATCTCAATCTCTGATTGACAATTCATTAGCCATTAGCCATCCATGTGGACAGTCTCTAAAGCAGATTACAACGACGACAGCATTTCCTGCGTTGACTTTGTTAGCGAAGCGGTAATTTAGTTAGTCTCAGAGACTCATCAGATAGACATCACAGCTTGGTTTGGCAACCTCGCTTACGCAACTGAATTCTAAACTGGTCCGGTTGATGCAGGTGTCACGCCCATAGAGTGCATGCAGACTGGGGTGGTGACATATTTTGGAAATTTACCCTGAAAGAATAAATACAATACCCAGTAGTGAGTTGGCTGTTCCTGAGTGGTTTTACTCGTTCTGGTGTTAACTGCCAGCAGAACTTAGTATATAAATATAGTGTATATAGTAAAATACAGTAATAACCCTGCATTCACTAAATATTTCCATTTATTAATCAATCAGCTAACAGAATCACAATAAACATTGAATAGACTGTTATGTATAAAAGTAGGCTACTACAAATGATAAATTCTACATAGGGTATTGAAAGTGCTCATTCTCTATCATCCTATTATCTACAATTATCAATAACAATTCTTATCATTACCAGGATAGAACAGTTATCTTATT